TGATGCCCAATTCAAAAGTACCACTGCGTTGTCTTATGTTTCATTTTAAAAATATTTGACAAGACCGCAACAAAAAAGACACTTTAGACGGTAAAACTCTTCATTTGACGGGATCTTGCGAACTGCATGGCGATATCATCCCCTTTAGCCAAGCATTATTAACTATATTAAAAGATTTTTGACATATGCTATTCATTGTAACTTTTTCCCCGACAGCGTAATTATCCATTCTGAAAAATGACACGGTAAGACGATTTTTTCCTAAGAAAAGTTAATTTCCTGTCTCGCGCCATGAAAACAACCCCGAATTTTGTTAATTAGTTCCGAGCATTCCATCACATCATTGAACACAGCGAGACGCCAAAATGAAAAGCTGATGCGGGGCTACATTTGACTAGCAGGCCAAAGAAAAATATAAAGAAAAAGAATAATGAAATGAAAAGGGAAAAGGCGCGGCAAAGAACTTCAAGAAAAGAATTTTGCCCGGGGGCCGATTTCGGATCCGCACTGGCCCACTTCACGCGCGCGGAAAGTTTCCCAACTCGGCGGTCGATGTTGTGCCGCCACCGGCCTTTCGTCTTGCCTTACCACCGGACCGGCTAGACTTTCAATCGAACTCCAAAATTCAAGAAACCGCGGCCGGCTGTAGAGCTGATGACAATCCTTCTAAAACCAGCTGTATAATCCTACGGGTAATTTTTTTTTTACTTCGCAGTGTGAACGATCGCCGAAGAGATCGTCTCGGATAACTTGTCATTTCATTATGCAGCCCAAAACTCATATTTTTGTTCCCATCAAAATGTAAAGATGCTGATACAGCAATTCCCTTTTTTTCGTAACCAAATTTGAGTAGTTTGCACGTACATTATGTTCTTTAACCCTATATGAGTGGCTCGCGTCACAAAAATATACGTATGCAGTATTACTATTTCTGACAGTATTTCTGTAATGTCTCGATGCTGATCAAGGTTCCTCAATTCTCTTCCAATCACTGCATTTTCGGAATAGAGCACATCATGCACGACAGACAAGCAAGCACAAAGGTAACTCACATGTTACTTTTCACGTAAACTGAACTCCACTCGCCAAAGCATGACTGATTCGTTCTCAATGTGGCAGTGACATTTCCCTATCAAAGTTAATGAACCCAGTATTTTTCCCTCAGTTGAATTGCGGGCTGTTTCTACTGAATGATTTTCCGGTAAGATGCTTTTTTCCCCCAGAGGAAAAAAAATTATTCAATCTGAAAGCAACTTCTCAATTGAAATACACAACTACTTAAGAAACCATGGCAATATAACAAATAACTTGACCTATATAACACTTTTAGAAATACAGAGTTAACTTTGACACAGTACTTCAAAGGAGTCCCGTTTCGTATGAAGTTTGACAGTAGATCCATTTGTAATTGAAATGTAATTTTCCAAAGTAAAATAACGTTTTAAATCTAGTTTCAATAGTGCAAGGGATGGTCTGCTATCGTTCATCTTCATCTTATAAATGTAAAAACGACACAAAATAAGGATCGGGTTAAGAGCGCTTCACGATTTTTTTAGTATACCGAAGAGGATAGCCTCGTTGTCTAAACGTATATTTAAATTAAGAGTCTTCTTGAACCAATCATTAACTTGGGTCCAAAACATAGATGAAATCTTACACCTACAAAATAGACGAACAAGCGTTTCACTCTCTAACTTACAGAAAGTACACAGAGCATTATCTTGTTTACCAATTTTTGCTAAGAAGGAGTTAACGCCAAGAATTCTGTGGACTAATCTATATTGGAACCACCCGTACTTTAGTGTCGTTTGTAACGCTGAATGCAATATTACAAAGTACCATCTACTTAGAATTCTAACGTTCAGTTTTGTTTCCCACTTTGCAATAAATTTATAAACTACTTTTCTTGCAGATGTTAGACAGTTGCAAATGCGGTTGGAGCCTTTTTTGTCCTCCAAGAGTAGCCTAAAATTGAATGGAATGAAAGGGGAGCAGATATTTGCCCTCCTGGTACCCATCAACATAGTACTAAAAGAGGTTTTTTTGGCCTTAATTATCCCTCCATATTCAAGAAAATTAGTCTTAATATTAAATTTAGCCATAAAATTAACTAAGGTATAAGAAGGTCTCCCCTTTCATCTGGAAGATCACACACAAAGAAAATACCCTTGTTACTCCAGTGTTTGCAATTCATGAATACAATTTAGGTCTATATTCTAATTCTATGGTTGTACCATAGAACACTAATTGGGGGTAAGATGGGTTCTAGCAAAATCCAATTCCATGACGTCACTCAGTCAGGTTATATTGTAATTAACAAATTGCCAATTTTGTTTTTGATATACGCCCAAATGTCGATTCCTTGGGGAGGTCTTTATGAAATCGTTCCTGTGTCCGTTCAAGCTGACGACCTGCTAATTTACAAGCTTTTTATAATGAAAATTTAACTCGTACTTTTCCTAGCTTTTCTTTTTGGAAGGAGTTCTAATACAGCCCTATACACAATATGCAAGAAAAGTATACCAACAATCTGTTATTTGAAGTCCATAACTTAATTATTCGCTTTAATACAGTGTTACATTTTGTACAATCTTAGTGTACGTACAGGTTACTAAATAATATGCCAACTTACTATAATTATTCCGAATTAAACCCTAGATGGTGTTGGTACCGCGCACATGTCAGCAATATAAATGGCCTATTGGCTGAATCTGTTCCTTGCTCTATGGCTGAATCAGGCAAACAAATTGCAACGTAAATTCTGCAGAACATGTTTTTTAACTCACCAATTCTTCAATTTCAAGCTACATTCCCATTTCCTCTGAGAAAGATTTTCTTACTGACAAGTTCGGAGGTCTTGTATTTCTGCACATCCCTAAACCTTCTCATCCAAACCATATTTCCCACTACATTTCCCCAGATGTTGGATAATCCCCACAGCTGACGTCATTCAATGCATGTCTTTTCAGGTAAAGCTCATTTCCCAGGAGGGTGTGGTAGCTTGTGAATAACAAGCGTCAATATCTCTTCTCTCTCGGCTTTCGGCCCAACGAAAAAAAATCATTTCTTTTCTTCCTAATTGGCCCGCTATAGCTTTTTCACCCTTTAAGATGCCTCACTGCAGACAACACTTTGATTTTGCCGCGATTCAATTTTAGCGATAAATGTTCAGATCCCCGCGCGAATGGCATGCTCCCATGAGCGGATCGGTTAGCTCACACAAACTTCATCTTTCATCCATAATTGTTTTCTCATATTCCCCCATTCTCCCCCCCCCCCAAGATTGCAGTCGCGGAATGAATATTTTCAACTGGCAATCCAATTAATTTTTCTAACTTCGAGAGATAAATCTGACGAATCACGTCAATCAAAGACTCTGCGGTATCAATAAATCTATGTGTCGAAATGGAATTACAATCAAATATTCTGCTTCGGAATTGTCGGTACCTGTTTAGGCTACAACTGGCATTTTGTTGAAATCTGGAAAACTGCCGCGTTCCACTTCAATATAACAAACACCGCAATTACGGTCTACGGATAGTTCGATAGCAGATTGCATCGCTGCTTCCACTAATTCTCAACATCATGGGGGTGTTTTTAGACGGGGCACAGAGTATTAGGTGTTAAAACAGCACCACATCATTGTACAAATGAAATAACGGCTGTTATCATGTAGTTTCCAAGCAGGGCCTCCGCATTCTGACAAAAGTATGACCGACCAACTAACTGTGAAAGCAGCATGTATGCCAATATATAATAATACATTACACCTGCCAACGAATACATGTACCGTATACAGCGTGTCCCAAAAAAAGTCCCTCTGATAGACTGCTAAATTAATTCCAAAATCAAGTATTATTCTCAATTTAGTGTTCAGATTAAGAAAGCCCATTTAATTTTGTATCTTCTGTGAAAATTTCATTGGTCTCGCTTCATTGGTTTTGAATACACAGTCTATTATGTAACAGCAGTGCTTTTCAGCCCATTCCAAGTTTGCAGGTGGAAGGATGTGCAGGAGGACAATAAAGGTTTACAAGCTGGACATTGAAGAACAAACCATAAGTGGAACACACCCTGTGAAAGCACACACGACCAGTGGAACTGAACTTTGATTAGTTTTCATTTAAAAAAAGTAAATGAACTTGACTTTAGTTACTTAATAACAAAAACAAGAACACAGTTGTTGAAATAATAGTGAAGCATGGAATAAGGTATGGTATGTCTGTAGTGTGCATTTCTTTTTATCAAACTTGGAATGGGCCGGAAAGCACTGCTGTTACATAAAAGCCTGTGTATTTAAAAACCAATGAAGCGAGACCTTTGAAATTTTCACAGGAACTACACAATTAAGTGGGCTTTCTAAATATGTAAACTTAAATTGAGTATAAAACTTGATTTTGGTAATTATTCTGTGGTCTATGAGAGGGACATTTTTTTGGGGACACGCTGTAGAGGTAGAATTTGTGAGCGAAAAAGTGGGTAAGGCAGGTGCAGTATCTTCTAATGGGAGAGTACCGAGAAGCTTTAAACTGCAATGTGTGCCATCCATGTTCTACGATCAATGGCAGATATGCACGTACGTTGAAGCAACGTAAAACAAAGGAGGGGTTGGTTGTGTTTGCTGCCACCGAGAGTCCTTTATCCCGTCCAGGTTCGTGGAACCTGCAAACACTCAAACCGAAGTGTTTCGTATTCACGACAGTTGGAGAGTATTATAAGGATACAGGGTAGGATAGCATTTCCAAATCTCGTCTTCGTTAGCGGCTTTGACTACACAGGCTCCAGTTTCATAATGTTAGATCTACGATCAAGTGGGAGACAGGGGCTCAATATTTAGAGCATTTGTCGCTGAACATCAAATAATACCACATGTAATATGAGTCCATAATGTGTTAGAGTGTGTTATTTCGGTATAGTCCTTGATTTTTTGTAAAATGAGCATCACGGTGCCAATCATGCATGGTGTAACCATGGCCGAGGTACCCGTTTAGTAATCTTACCTGATGAGTTGTTATAGGTGTGATCAGCCAAGGGGCCGGAGTACCAGCTAGGGGAGTGTCCTTTTCCGCGTATCCAGTTGAATTCGTTGTTAGGTGACTGCGTGTAGCCACAGGCTTGTTCATTCTGAAAGTCACAGTTGATAACAACTGCGAAAATGACAGAAAACATAGATTATACCTCCTTGATAACAGTGATAAGCCACCGAATTAGCATCAGGGAATTAGCAACGAAAAACTAGATCATTTTGTTTAACAAATGTTGGGTACGGTAATAAGAATCTATCAAAGCATTGGAACACAAACAAAATATTATATATTGAGATATGATATGCTATGAAAGCTATCCACAAGAACTTAATGAAACACAAATTTCAATCTTATAAAAGGTTGTGTCTCCATCATTGTCTGTCTTCTCGAGCCTGCAGCATATTATTTCATTACAAAATTTATGACCAGTCGCTAGACATTAAAAAGCTATACATTAACGCTTACAGCACGTGAGTATCAAAAATCAATCAATGAAATTGCTTTCATTTCAGAGATGACTCATGGATTCACTTGAATCGTCTTTTGTGAAAGAAACACCTAACAGACACTAAACACACATTAGTGTCATGATCTTCAGCTATATGCGACACGGCCAGAAATGCATGCAACTTTATCATACTATGTCTGGAGTCAAGTGCCCTAGAACATATAACAAACAGGCGTCAATGGCAATTTAAGAGGCTCCTACCACCACAAAAGGTATCAACGAGAAAGTTCCCGATCAAGGATAAAAATCACGGATGTCGCGAAGTCGCGCTATCAAAATACTCGGCGTATCCACTTGTCCGAATCAGCCACGTCAACAGAACCTATCGGTGACCGCAACCGGACCCAAGAAAACGCACTTGAGTTTTACCAGCCATGCACGATTACAGCTATTTAAGTGCGCGGCCATTGTTCAGTTTGAAAACCCAACACGGTTTCTGCTGAAGACGATTACGGCCATCAAATCTCTGAAAATGTTATTTTTGGGCGGCACTTGAAAACGGCGAGGTGTATAATTGCAGAGGACGTTTGGTGAGCCACGAGGGAACACTCTGGGTAACTCGAGTATTTTGTCTCTGTATATAGTAGTTGTTGTTGAACGAGGCTGGGCCGGGCCAATAGGCTGGTGGCGCGACACAAAATAGAGACGGGTACCCGTCGAAAGCTGAGCGCGCGATAATTGACGCAAACCAAAGCTTGTTTCCTGTCTCCTCAAGAAATCTAATATAGAGTTACCCACTTGTTCGTGTGTGTCAGGTGTTCCAATCGATCCGTTTGTTTTGTATAATCCTCGCGCCTTCGGGGTCCGCCGCGTATATTTTTGTAGGTTATCAACTTGATCAGGTCCCATAGCTTTGTGTTTGGCTATAATACACTGTCAGTGTCAACTCGCCAAATGCGATGAGCGGCGAAAGAAGGGAACGGATGCTCGCGAAAGGGGAATAAAAGCAGCTCCGTTACAGGCCCGCGTTCGTTGACATTTCGGCGCAAATTACATTTTAGGTGAAACGGGCCGACTTTGAGGCCCGCATGCAAAAAAGGGGTAAAGATATATATTACTTGACGAAGTTAGCGAGACTTGCTGCGACAACACAACACCCCGGGTAGGAGGTGGGTAATAGCAAGCTGTATCATCGCGACGAAGGGCGAAAAGGTCAGGGGATGCACGGTTGGGGAATAAAGCCCGCGAAAACACAACATGATGGCTTGAATATCAATCCGGGTGGTGCGAAAAAAAACACTGCTTATATCAAGTACAGTGACAGGCTGATGCAGGGTTAGTCTAACGGAGTTCAGCTGCCGTTGAATTATCAGCTCATCTTAAAAGAAAAACCCTTCGACTTCCCCAGACTTCGTGGAATAATCTCTATGTAAAAAACGCTCTTTATTGAGTCCCTGGTGGATCTGATCTGGCTCAGAACTATAGCCTGGACTGAAAACAACTTTAGCCAGTCACTGAGCTGTGAGTAGCGGGCATTTGCTTTATAAAAGGGACGGAGTTTATCCTGTTGAGCAAATTAGCATGTACAAGCAGGAATGATGGGTGACGAGAAAGCCGGCAGGTATATCTGAGTGGGCAATATGCGGACTGCAGACGGGGCAAGCGTTATAAACTGATGTCTCAAACATAAAACGCCATTAAAATATTCGCCAGAATTTTTTTCTGCAAGATTGGAACCAATTAATTGAGCCCACTGGTACTTCTCAGTTCGAAACTTCGGGGATAATAATATATGAGAGCGGGACCGGCGAGCAGAAGACATGTTTTCATTATCCTCCTAACATAAGAACGCATTCCCGACTGTAGGGGGCGCTGTGCTGTGATGACGATTATCCTAATCTCTTCTGTGAATATTCAATGCGAATTGGTCCAACGTGAAATGTTGTTTTGATATTGGTTTATTTTAAATAACATCAAAACCAACCAGAATTTCTGTCGACTACGATGTGAAGCATTTATTGCAGACTATAATGAATAAGTCATGTTTAGCGTCTGTCAATACGTTTAAGGCACCCTAGCGGGACCGCGGAATGAATGAAGCAAATGTTGGTTTCTTTTTGAAAATGGAATATCGTCACGTCAACAGTTCGAAAATAAGACAGACAGCTCACAGTCCCCTCACATCTATACTGTAGTCACATCTAACGTGCCATCACATCTAACATTGGTACGCAAGAGTAGACAGTTTCTAGTTTCATTGTCACTAAATTTAAATTAGATAAACTATTGTCAGTGCAAGGGGTCTTTTGATTTTTGGAATATTAGCAAAATCAAGAGAGAATGCATCTCATATTTATTTTATACTTCCCCCCAGTCATTACCAATTTACTCCTAACTCCAGAATATTCCTCTCTCCAAGCCAAAAGGCAATGTCTCGCAACCAACGAAAACCACGAATTCCAAAACACTGGCTATTAGCATAAGGCCCAGTTTCCGTAGAACAACATCCCCTACCCCTCCATAGCAATTAAGAGCCAAAATCATGAAAGATAACCCCGCGTTCGGATGCATTGCATGTCCGTACGGCCCTCGGAGATACGGCCGCGGGGCTATTTTCTGCTTCTCTTAAAAATACCGGGGCGGGTTCGACCAACCAATTTCCCACGAGCCTCGACCCTGCGCGCGCCGCAGTCCGCACGCGCCGCGCGGAATTTCCGCCATTCCTTCACACTCGATAATTTTTCTCTGTCTTCGCGCACAACAGGAAATGCAAGGAACGGTGGGCGAAGTAGAGCTCGTGCTGGAGAGGGTGCCACAAGGGAACCAAGCCAGGTGGGGAAGAGAGACGATGGGGCAAAACAGGCAGACAGATAGAGCTCGATGAAGGTGTTTTCTCACTGTCTTCGGCGTGGCTTCCGGTGCTTTGCGTTGACGGCTGTTTGCTGTGCGAAAATACGGTACCGCATTGCAGCTTGGCAGCTCTAACATACCATGCAGTGGAGATATAATATCGGTAATTCGATAGTGTGAGGTGCAACTGCAAATTACGTAGTCAGTAGGAGCGACTGCAAACTACGTAGTAGTGATTGGTGATATTTGTTTTACTTAAGAAATAAAGAATGGACAGTTTACTTAACATCCCAAATACATGTATACCAAATGTTATTATCGCGATTTGCATGCAACGACCGCCGGGTGGACAACACAGAATAAAGGTTGATCGATATAAAGACTGTTTAATATTTCAATGGAAAAAGAATATCTCAATGTCTCGGGGCTCCAAATTGAGTTTTCTGTCGCTAATAACTCTATCTGCTCCACCTGGCTTCAGTCGCCAAATTGATGCTTTATGCTCAGGTCTGTGATTTGTTTTCCTTCAAATCGCGGCTAACACAACGATCGGTCGGTCCACAGGTTCGGCGTCTCAGCCAGCCGACCGTAAAAATGGAAGATGACAGAAAGCTGTATTTATGGCCACGCTCCGCTGAGGCCCTGGGAGACTACCGAATTATGTTTCTGATTACAGGGTAATTCCATAATACGCGCTCTCGTCGACTTACGATCCTCGGCGGAGCTGAGTTTCTATTAGGCATGTGGTATTCCGTTTCCTCCGAGCTGGCAATGCAACTGCCTCCCCCCCCCCCCAAAAAAAAAAAAAAAATCGCGGGACATTTCTTCTCAATTCCGAAGGTCACTTCGGATGGAGCAGGGAGGGATGAACAACCGATCAGCTTGTCTCCCACTCCCATCTCGTCTCGCGTAATTGGGAGTCTAAATCTTTCATCTGCTTGGTTTACGATGCTGGGGATTGGATGAAGACAATGAGAAAAAAATGGTCAAGTTCAAGCCTGCCCCTTCGCTTAAAGAGGGACTGTCGTGAAGTCACGAATAAGCAAAAGAAAAGTTAGGCCATTTCTGAGAAGAGCGCCCTCTTTCTTGAATCCTAAAATGTTCGTTCAGATAATGAACCCACAGTGGAGTCCCACCTGGCCAATTACGAACGTTACGGAAAATGCCGGTATTACACTTAGGAAAAACTCAAAATCATGACAGAACCTGCTTCTGCGTAAAAAAAAAATCGAGTTGTTGTTTTGTTGTTACAGCTACGGATATCCACATCCTTTCCTTTTTATATATTTTCGTTAGTTTGTTTTGTAAACTAAGGTCTGGTTTATGATTGCTGAAAATGTCATAAATTGTAGTTTTACTCTTCTTTGAGGAAACAATTAACCCTAAAATGCATGACTAGATATCGCCTCGGAGAGACTCTCGTTAACAGCAGGTGTCCCTTTAATGTCGTGGTTTCACTCGACGGTTTGAAATATTTTCTACTCTTCGTTTTCATTCTGATATGAGGGCTAAAGGATAGTGTCTGTCACTACCGATGACTTATGTGGAAATTGATTTCAAATAGGCCAGCTCCCGTGGCATCTCGCCTCAGCCTTATTTGGCGACATTTGCAGTTGTATAGAGGTTTTCATCAGATTTGGCCGGGAGCGCAGATCTTCCGCAAGGACACAGAGGAATATAAAGCAATCTAATACTCTGCATTAATGCCAGCGAGTTAAAAATAGTGTTGTCAAGGAAAATGCTCAGAGACTGAAAAATGCCGTACTTAAAAGGTACGCACAGCCTTATAATATCCTTATCCCATTTTCCGGGTCAAAGGCTTGTCACGTGCCAGTACTTTGACTGCTCCCAGCACTTTT